GTAATTGTTAGTGCTATAACAAAGTAATATAGCTGTCATGTGCTCTTTTTAGGTCAAACTTATTTTTTTTAATACGGGCGATTGAGATGTACGTAATGTTGTAGTTTGATGTGTATTATAATAAAATTCTGTAAAATTCCTGTTACAGAAAAACATTTTTCCATTGTTAGATGTAGAAACGGTTACAAGTGCGGTTTCTAAAATGATTCGTTTTATTAAATAAGCAAACAGTCAGACATTATGTTTTTGAAAAAAACTGAAATTTATCAAAAAATTATTGGAACTAACTGTCATGAAAATGTTTGACCCATTTTCAATTTTTCTGAAAAATTTGGGTTTTGTTCAGTTTGATTGGTTTTTTATTTTTGCTTGGATTCTTTAACTACTTACATAGTGAAAAGCACAAATTCTCTGTTGCACGAATCCAATATGATGATTATACATAAAAGTTAGCTAAGTAAATTACAATTTTGTCGTTGCTGAAAGTCTCACCTTTTGGTCAAATTGGTTTTGCTATTAGCTTTATGTCGCACTAATGCTACGTATCCACAAAAAGTGGTTTCTATCCACTTTCCGCAAATTACATTGTTCTGAACTTCTGAATTTCATCACTATAATTTGATCTCATTGCCCAAGGAGATAAAATAGTGCGAGTAAAACTGCATTACAATATTAATTTGTTTATTTACCGATCAGCTTTCTGATTTGAAACAACTAAAAATCTATTGTGCCATTTTCAACCATCTACACGCTTGGTAACCTTGGATATCCTAATATACAGAATATAATTGGAATTATGTATATTGGAAAATATGTCATAAGCCACTTTACATAAAATAGGCTAAATTACTCTGTACAAAGCTAATTCACAAACGTTAAATAGTAATAATACATATTTTATGGCAGACCTGTTTTGAAGATAATTAAAAATTTTATTTAATATTATTAAATAGTAATTTTTAAACAAAGCCTACGTAGCCCTATAAATTGTTAAGCATAAAATGGTCACAAACCAATATTCAACAGAAAATTACGATAATATACAGAGTGTCCCATTCGAAATATAGAACTTATGTCGTCCCTTACGCTATACGAAACGAAATTTTGATTTTAAGACTGGACTTGTTTTACATCTAGAAGATCCCGGAGTTAAATTTAAAAAAGTTGAAGATCGACATAAATGTCCAATATTCCAGACACTTGGTAATATTTGCCGGACTAGACAGATAATCCAGGCCAGCCTGCAATTATCTTGATGGCTAGTCCTAAAAAAGGACACCTTCGATTATACAATTATCCTAATGTCGTTTTAAATTAAGCACATATTAAAGTCACGCTTTCTTCGTCCACCCAATGCATATACATATCTGTAAACTCCTTTACTTGTTGCCAGGTTAGATAATATTTTCAAAGCGCTATTAATTTGTCAGTGTCTTTTGGTCACTTTTTGCGCGCTCGTAATAGCGAGAAAGCTTCTTCTTGTTATTCATTAGACTTGCTAGCTGTAGTGTTACACAAGTATTTCACATTATTCGCTTCATTGCAATTACTTTGCGGGCGAGCTTGAAATGTTTCCAATTTTGAGTTGCGCGAAAAGGTTCCTAAGGAACAACCGGAATACTCTTTTGGCACAAATTTCTTTCTAATTATTTGCACTATGTTACTTGTGTGATGTGGTGTCAGAGCTTTATCAGTCACACCCCTTGTGTTAGTTCGGTTAGAACTATTTTCCTTGGGAAAAGTTTTACCTTTATCTAGATGAGGACTTTTCAGATATTTATTTTGAGCGTTTCTCTTTAAATTATTCCAAGCTTTGTTGATTTGGCTCCTATTTGGTTCTCCTCCGACCTTTTCATCTCTACTTTCGTGGTTCCCGGACGTTTCTTTTTCTGGTAAAGGAGATGAAGTTATAGAATAGTCGTTGTCAATATCTTTTGCCCCCAATTCTTGTACGTTCATGCCTATAACTTCGCAATTGATTGAATTAATCTCGATATAGCTTTCATCTGTTTCAAACCCATTTTCATTCATTTGTTGGGTTTTTAATGCGGAGTTGTCCCGATCTGCATTAGAAGATTGACGCTGATTATTTTTATTTCCTTCAATAGCGGATATAGTACAATTAGGTTGCGAACAGTCAACAAAATTATTTTTTGCAATTATGCTCTCATTAAGTTCGTCAAGTACGACGTCGTCATAGGGCTGCTCCAATTCTTCACATAATTCTGTTGCTTTAGATTTGAGCTCGCTGTTGGAAATTTCTTGATCGTTGTAATCAATTTTGGCAGACTGCACAAGATTGGCTGATTTTGCAGGAAGTTTGGGGGGAGTATTCATTATCTCATCTAAATCTTCATAGGCTGGCATTGATTTGCTAATAAGTAAATTATATATGTGATATTCGTATGAGGCTAATGATAATTTAAATAAAAACCGTACTTATTGATTTCGCTGTAAATTCCTTCCTGTTCCGTTACTTCAAAGTACCTTAAATCTTCATAATTATGTTCTCCAGTCTGTGTATTTATCTTCAGAAGTCTTTCATGGGTTTCATTTATAATGGCAACCCATTGCAGCATGTCCTTGTGTGTTATCGCAAGAAACTGAAGAAAACTACTATTCACATACCTGAAATCCATGTGTATTTCGAGAAAGTCTTACATTGTATTCTTTATTTGACATCGTTGGTGAAAAAACCGTAAACGACATCGTACTGTTCGCATCATTGCGGTCTTCCCTTGCCTCGTAAAGTTCCAAATCTAATGCACGGAAAGGTTTTACGTTTTTCTCGGTCCAATACAAGAGCAACCAGTTTCCGTGAACTACACCAAATACTTTGGACAGTCGATCAATTGAAAATACTTTCCTATGCATCGATAATGTACCCTGTTTTATTCCCTTTGGTAACTCTTTTGCAGGTTGATCTGAAACGAAAAAAGTTAATAATGAACAGAATAATTATTCCCATCACTGCATGTGTTCTTTTTTAGAAATTGCTTTGGTAAAAATCCAGCGAATGTTTTAAGTACTTACTCTTAAACGGACATATTGATTTGAAAGTGGATCTTTGTATCCGAAATCGTAATCGTTTTCTATTCGATGGAAGCGGTGGATTTTCTAAATTGCAAATATAAAAATGCATTATATGTATATATTAAATTTGATTTTAACGAAACTTACCGTCCACAGTGATCTTTGATATTCTAACACATGATTCATTTTCAGTTTTGAGGGTAGGATTTCTTGTCAACTTGTTTTTGGTTAATGCAATAATTTGTAATTTGCTCTTAGATCTTTTAATCAACTCTTCAGCTAACTGTCTATCTTCAGGCGTCGCGGCAATTTCCTCTATATTTCTATTAAGATACTCGTATATATCTGTAAATGTAATTTAAGTAAAATGTTCGGAATTACTACATGGTTTTATTTACTCCAAATGAACAATAAGTATTCAATTGTTTCAGTTTATTACCATATGATAGGCAATGGTCATTCTGCTCTTATTTTGGGCTTTTGACTCATTAGTCGATATACTGAAACTCATAAGGACAAGTTGAAAGTGATTAATTCCGTATTTATAACCTTTTTGTATTTATAACTAATTTCATCATATCATCATAGGAAAAGCAACATTCTTAATTGATAATATTTTTGAAGTTCTGTTCCATAAGTCTGTTTCTGTCTATCGATTTCTGCCAAACCAATTTGGTACCGCACTTCCTTGCTTTAGGACCGAGAAATTGGCCCTAAGCCTGAATTAATTAACTCAACAGAAAGAAGATTCAGAAGGCAACGGAAAAGCACTGCATTAGTAAAAAATAATGTAGTTTTGTCTATTTTAGGATTATTTGGGTACATTTAAGACCATTCACAAATTTTGATCAGTTTTATTTTTTTTACAATTCTGACTGACTTTCCAGCTGTTTTATTTTAAACAGCTTTATCTATGTCTTTCACTGGTTTTGTAGTATATGCGATGCAAGCGATGATTGATGCTGGAACTGACATAATTCAAGGGAATGAAAGAATGAATTATATGGGTTTTCTTCTCACAAAGGTAAAGCCCATATTGTCCGCTCAATTCTTTAAATGTTTTCCAAATTAAAATAATTTCGGTAGCCTCAATGATCGAAAAAATTACATTGATGTTTTAATTTTGGAATTTAAAACATTTGTCAATAAAGGAATTTGGATAATTATTGAAATTTAAAACTTCTATTGTGATTTTTTGTGATAAATAGATTCATTACAAAACAAATGATTTTAGGTCATACATCATATAAACTTTTGCAATTCCTTTTTCACCATTATCGGGTGATTTCCGTTAAAATTAAAATATGTATTTGTAAAAAATGTGGAAAAAACAGATTTCCATTCATTTAGCCTTGTTAAACAATTTATTAATATACTCCTTTTAGGTATATTTTGAGAACGATAGCAAATTTCCTAACGAAACGTTAACATCAATTTTTAAAATTAATTTCTAGCAAGAAACTTATTCCGTGTTAAGTATTCCGGTGGTCTTAATGATGGGAGCAGAGGAAAGCATTCATAAACCATGATATGACTTGAATGTGAATCTGCCTTTAGGACGGTTTTACAGAACATATCAAGCCGCACAATCTGAAAGTTTCATAAAAACTGAGCGAAGGGCTGATCAAGTCATTTACAAATCATGGATGGCATCGCTTAAATGTGAATCTGACATGTAGGCAGCTTCTACACAACATATCAAGCTGAAAAGGCACAAAGTTTTAGAAAAATCGAGCAAAAGACGAATCAAATTTAATTTAGCATAAAAGTGTAGATTTAGCCGCATTATTGGAGACGTTTATATTTGCAACCAAAGATAAACATTTCTCAGCAGTAAGCTATTTTGTTTACGGCGATCTTCCAAACGAGTTTGATCGTGAAAATTTTCTTTGAAAATATTGCGATATGAAGTGAGGCTTTCAACAACATTGTCAATGACAAAAAAACGGAGTTCGGACTGTAAAGTAAATACAAGGACACATCGAAGGGACGATAAAGCAAACTACGAGATCATTACGTTAGTTCAGTAGGTCGGGGGGTTGGAAATGTGGCAAAAACCTTAATTCGTAGAGTTTTTTTTCAAAACGCTTACTAAATTGTCAGTTTGTCAAACACCATGAGGGAAATATGTCGTCAGACCTTTGTGCCTTTCTAATCATATTCATAAACGGGATATATAGACTGATTTGATGCCACTTAGGCAAGTTCGGTGAATCCGTTTGATGTGGAATTTGATTCGTTACCTGCAGGATTAAAGTTTTCAATTTTAAGTCGATCTTCACTGTGTGTTTAAGTGTAGCGCGAGCTTCTTGAATATGAATGGGTAGAAAATGGTAATCAGCTTGCATAAAACTGGTAAGGATCTCTATCTATCGAAATCCGTTAGCTTGAATTGAGTTTCGTTTCAAAGGACAAGGTTTTTTTTTGGTTCAAGGTTTCATAAGCAACCTAGAAGAAGAATTTTAAGGTTTTCTAATTTTTCTTTCTTTCCTTTCCCTATTTCAAGTAATTAAGTTTTGGACTAAACTTCTGATATTCTAAAGAATGTTTTTTTTTTCAGGTGACTCGATGCACATTTCGGTAAGTTTGGCATTACTTTACCGCCCTTGGTTGCCATGTGGATGTAGTCTTTAGTTCCATATTATTGACTTGTATTTTATGATATTGCTGCGTTCGACGATGAACGACGAGAAAGTTTCTGGATTCTGGATCGGGTTTTTTTTTCTGTAAAATGAAATGAGCTGTGAACTACACTTTTGATTATCTTGGATGCTAATTTACGCCATTTATCTGTATTTTCTTCTGCGAATTATACGCTAAACTTCCAAATAGGGGTGGTTAAAATGTTCAAATTTTAACTATGCTATTGTAAAAAATTTTTCAATACTATTCAAAAATTTTTCAAATGTTTATAATCTTTACTTGGTTTTTTTAATACTAAATAATTAGGTTTTTCGCAGTAGACTGTTTTTATGAATATTTACAATTTATTTATTATTTATGTGAAGTAACGGTGTTATTTTTTACAAACTGCTTGTTGGGTATTTCGCCTCAAAATTTTTTGTCTATTCTGTCTACTTCGTACAGACAAAAAATTTTGAGGTAAAATACCCAGCAAGCAGTTTGTAAAGAAATGAATCCGCCTCAACAAAATAGAACTTATCTACAACTTAGGTAAGGGTGTTCTGTTGCGAACCCGTCTTGTATTGCATTCAAAGTATGAAAAATCATGATTACTGTTTTTCTGTTGAACTTTTGCTTTGTTCGAAGGTTAAAAACCCTCCCAGAATCCAGAGCAAAATGCAGAAAGGTAGGTGAATTTTATTTATTACTTTGTGGTGGTTTAGCGGAAAGCGCCCTGCATCTGTTCCTGGCCTACTTATTTAGATTTCGAGCTGTTTTTCCAAATTTAACACTTACGTATTACTTACAAACGGTTTGTGATAGGGAATTCCAGCGGCCAGGATCCGTCCGACTATTCTAGTCTTTTTGCCGTCTAGCCCGGACCCTTTAGGTTGCAGATGGTGCAGATCAAAATTATAATCAGATTTGCGCTTGTTTTTTCATAAATTGAGCCTCTGAATGGCGTTGAAGTTTTTGAGAATAAATCGAGCTTTTAGGGGATTTCATTTTGTAGAAGTAGATGGCAACCAGGGTTGTAGTTTCTATTTTGCAACATTTATACTGCTCGCATGTGCAGTAGAACGGTTTTATTTAGCGGAATTTGCATAGTTTATATTGAGGTTTTGCAAAATTTTTACTGCGTTTTTTGCGGAATTTTTATTGCATCTAGCGGCTTTTTGGTAAGGGTAGCGTCCTCTTTTAATTTACCACTTACAAGAGTTTTTCTTGCAGCTTTCAACTGTTCAAATTTTTTTATATCATTTAGATACTTATTTTACTAACATACAACATAGGGTACGTCAGATAACTCTTTAAAATGCTTCGATTTACTAATAATGCGTTTTTCTTGCACCTTTGAATCTTCCATATATCCTGATATTCTTTATTTATTGTACACTTTTGAAGGTACGTTATAAATAAGTCAAGTAATTTCCTAAAGTATTTAGATCAAAAAATTCAAATAAATATTTTTGAAATATGTTGATTTTTGTTATAGTAGGTACCTATATAGTACATCCAGATAATACTATTACTGGATAATATACTCATTACTTAAATAGTACAAAAATAAAATTTAAAAAAATGTTATTTTTGATAAAGTTTCTAGTATCATTCAATTTTAACTTTAAAAAATGATGCAGATATTGGGGTCTCAAAAGCTCTAAGCTTTTTAAATACAACTCTACTACTTTTTAGTGCATATTCAAACAACGTTAAATTCTTAAATGTTATCCATATTCGATTTTGTTTCAGTTAATAAACATTTCCAATAGAGTTTTGGTCTTGGTTTTGGTTTTTTATCCGCAATTATAAAATCTAGCAACAACATTTTAAAATTAACTACTTTGAAAACATTGACACTTTTTCCCTTAAAAGTTTTAATATCTGATTGCATCCTTAATACTGAAATATCGCCCATTATTAAATAAAATTTTCAATTTTGCTGCAGACTTTTTCTCTTTAATAATAGTTTGCTCAGATAGTCATTTGAACAAATGTTTTTTCATCATCTGTCATTTGCATGTATAATGTTGAGATGTTTTAATTTTAAATTGATCATAAAATCCTGCACACTCCGAATTCTGTTGTCGCCGAGAACGCCACTAGCAAGAATAAAAAATATTTTGCACAGCCTTTTAATGCACGAAAAATGCGCACTGTTCCACAAAAAATACCTGTAGTCATAATAAAAGTATGAATATTTCTAAAAAATGCGGTACCTTGTAGCTCAAAAGTTAAGGCCCAGAGCACATATTATTAAGCAACACTGTGTATATATTAACAGCTTCAGTTCTTACAAATCGCCTTGGTGAGAAAGTAGCTTACCGTGAGGTTATTTGACCTAGTGAACTACATGAGTCACGATTTCGTTTCAATTAATAAACTTTATATTAATGAAAAAAACTATATAAATAATGTTTTACAAGCTAAATAAAAGTTTAAATAGATCTAAATAAATATGAACTAATAGAACAGTTACCTTTCAAAAGCAAGTATATTTCCTGCTGGTTAGCGCCCATGGTATCAACATAATCACTACAAACATTAATTAGATCGATAAGAAACAATATAGTGAAAAGAAAATTGAAAATGTAATATAATATCCCCGCGTTGGCTAAGCAGAACTACACTGTGACTTCAATCCCGATTATGTTTAAACAAAATCCTCCCCTGCTGCGACGCTCGTATTGGTATTTTTACCGCTTACGCGCAATGAAAGTTTTTAAGTGAGCATAATAGGTCCAATTAACCAGTTTATTTTTAATATGTTATAACTCAGCACACCTTTTGTGTCTAAAATTTCGTTAGGTATTTTGTTACATATTTATATTATTAATCGTTATTTCCGCAGATAATGTGATTTTTGTCATATGAAATAAATTCTTACAGTATACCCCTAACGGAGGTACAGAACTCCAAAATCGTAATTTTGAACAGTGCGAGAGAGTTCGATTTACCTGAATTGCATCGGCATTTACAACGCGCCATATGCACCCTATATTTGAGTCGTTTGGTGAATTAATGCGTTATGTATTAATCAGATTTATATATGTTTTAAACGTTAATGTAATTATAATGATTCAATTAATTCAAAATTATTAAATATGTATTTACATTGAATTGAAATTAACGGCCCACGAATATGAGCTGCTAACCGTAACTCAAAAAATAAAATTATTGCGAAAACTTCAGGTCTTGCCAAAGCAGCTCTGCTCTAAACCTCTAAAATATTTTAAATGAAACGATGACATCTATTTGGAACAATCTGTATAACAGTAGGACGCGATACATACTTTCCTAAGTAACCTACACCTTTTTAACGATTCGTCAAATTCCCAGTGCAAAATGTTTTGTTATTTGGGAAGTATCGGTAACAACGTTAAGGATTGTATATCTCATTTATTAAAAAAAAAATGCAAATATGTCCCAAACCGATACAGATAGGAATAAATCCTGAAACATGAAAAGTGTTCAGAGTATTTGGGAGAACTTAAATTCCAGTAGTAGTAATATACAAGGAAATTTAATTTAAAGTAAGCGACTTGGGGTCTGCTTGCGGTGTAACCCAGGTGACACTCTTTTAAATATACAGGGTGTCCCGAAAGCCCCTAATCAAAAGGCTACTGCGGCATTCTTTGCATCAAAAGAAGACCATCTGACCTAACTTTTATTTACAAACAATGTCTGGCTCCTCTGCTATTGATGGTCAAAGTTCTTCAAAAAAATTATCTTTTTTGAAATATCTGAAATCTGAAATTTTTGAAAACTCGCTGTGAATTTGTTCTTATGTGACACTCATATTTTACTGAACCAATCGAGTGCATCCGTTTTGGACAAGTGGTGAATTCTTGAGTGTCGTCGTACAAAAACTACAAGAGCTTTCTATTTGGTGGTTAAAGGGAATGGTATACCTATTGAAAATATCGAGATGCGCCAGCTTGAAAAGGTGTGCCATTTGGATAAAGGACGAAAAAGTGAATAAAAATTGAGTTTCTTCCCGGAAACATCGCATATAACTCGGTAATCATGCATTTAGGAGAAAAAATGTATGCTTAGAAATTGTTCCATATTAATTTGCTGCAAGATAGAGTTGGTCCGATATCCGTAGATTTGAAATGTTTGCTTTAAAATGCTCGAAAGTGCAAAAACAAGGTAATTGTAAATTATTTATTGGCAATGAAAAAATAACCCAATCAGGCCATACATTTGTAGAAAAGTACTTGCCTGCAATACAAGAGAGCCACAAGATCCATTAAGATCGGATGGCCGGTTGTGCGTAATGCAATTGTTAAAATAACCTACCTGAAAAAAAATACCTTTTTTTAATTTTGTGCCAGGCTCAAAGTTATGAAAATTTTTTTGGGCCTGCTATTTTACACCTTCCTGGACCGTTAAACTATCAAATTCAATTGTTCTATGAACCGTTTTTCAATTTTCAATAACTTTTTGGCCGGTTTTAAAAAGCTCGAAAATTTTTGCTTTTAAATAATTAAGGCTGTGAAGCGGGATTTGCCAGTTGGAAAAACTAGTCGTATTATTTTTCTATACTTTCCGATTTTCTCCCGCTCACAAATTTCGCTTTACAGGCTTATTGATTTAAAAGCCAGCATTTTCAAGCTTTTGAAAACCGCTTAGTTATAAAAAATTGAAAAATGGTTAGTATGGCAATTGTATATGATAGTTTAAAGGTCCAAGCAGGTGTAGACACGCGGAAGCAAAACATATTTATAACTTGGCATGGCACAAAATTTAAAAATGTCTTTTCAGGTAGGTTATTTGACAATTGCATTATGCAGAAAGTGTCCATCAGATCTTAATCGGCCTTACTTACTCACGGCTCTCGCTTTGTATTACAGTCAAGTACTTTTCTCTAAATGTATGGCGTTATTGGGTAATTTTTCATTGTTAAATAAATACTTTAAAATTACCTTGTTTTGTACCTACTTTTTTGCAGCAAACGTTTCAATTCTACGGATATCGGACCAACTCTATCTAGTAGAACATTTCATAACGAAAAAATTTATAGGTATAAATGTCTTCTCTAAAATGCATACTTACCGAGTTATATGCGATTGTCTATAGAAAAAAAAAGCGATTTTCACATTTTTTTCTTGTTTATGCAAATAGCACACCTCGATATTTTCAATAGGTTCTGAGCGATGCCAAACCTCCTGGCCTACTTCGTATGTGGAATTTTTCTATAAGTGGTATCTATCGCAGGATCAGTGCCAGGCAACGAACTCAGAACCATTCACATTCTGTTTGTACAGCATTTTAGTTCTAGTCTATATTCCAAATTCAGCTAGCGTTCTCCTTCTCTGTTAAGTCTTCAGCCACGCTAAATAAAACTTGTTTTTAAAAAGAACATTCTCTAAATAAACACTTATAATTATGTATGGTATTAATTTTTTACGTATTTTTGTTATTCCAGTTGTTTTCTGCTGTAAGAAACTGTCACTTCCAAAGAATTTTCTAAATTATGAAGTATCGACAATAATTGTTAGTTGATTCAACCTAATCCAACATATTTTTGCCATCATAGCTCAAATGCTACACTTGGCTACAAAGACAAAAAATTGACTTCTGCATTTTTTCCGGCTTCGAACCAACAATAATTGGTAAAGCTTTACAATACGATCTCCTATCACTCGTGCATAAGCGAGCACGCACCGTACGCGCAGCCGAAAATTCGATACTGCTCACCCATGTTGCCAAACTGCCACCAAAGTAGAAAATCTCAATCAAAATAAAAAAGTAATTCTTTCAAAATTTCATTAAATACGTCCATACAGCAAATAGTAGAGACGACACTAATTAGCACTCGTACATGTGATTGTACACAAAAAAAATTTAAAAAATCATGAATTAGGAAATTTATTGATTTGAAAGGATTTACAAAATTGAAACAGCAAATATCAAACTTTTCATATTTATTATCCATACAAAAAAGAAAACAATAATATTAATAAAATTCACATCTTCACAGTAATTCCTTATCACATATATATCAACCACACTTTCACTCATACCCATTCAGACAAACTAAGCCTAATAAATCAATTTATATACTTTAAGATAGTATATATTTTAAGAGAATATTTTATAAATTAACATCTTATCCTAATTACGGTCCAAGATCATAAAATTATTACCAATAAAATAATTTTTCAGGTGGAGAGGTACATACATCGATCAAGAATACATTATGTACCTGTAAAATGTCAATAGAATTACATGTTTCAGAGCATTTCTCCCCTTCAACGCTATTGCATGTATGTACAAATTGTTATTAAATGTCTTTATTACGCCAGACGAATCGCCAGGTAAATCCAAAGCTAAACTAGTATTATCGTGATGTTAAACTATTACAAACTTCAATGAACGTACCTAGATAATATATACTTGAATAATTCGATGCGATCAAATTCCAAACATAAATGATAATGAAGTCATTTTAAATTGTTTGTTAATAAAAACAGACTATTATTTACCTAATGTAACAGTTGCTAAAGCGTTCGTTCCAAACTATTTCCCTAACGATACGCTGGACACAGATTTTCCTTTTATTCGAAAACTTGTTACTTGAACATTTATTTAATCTTATGTTCAAACATAAAAATATATTAAGACAAAGAAATTAACTTAACGCCAAAACAAAAACGTCCAATGCATATAAATTTAAAAATAGGCGCCGTATTTAATAGTTGGTCAGAAATACGTTTTCTATTAATATTTAGTTATTTACCGTCTTGAGTATGTTCTCATGTCTCTCTCAGTCTGTATTAAAGCCGCAAAATTGTTGAATATAATCAAATGAAACAAGGCTATAACTTGTTACCCACTATCCTACACTTTACTAGATATTAATAAAGTGATTTGTTTACCATCACATTTTACACAGTATAAATAATTAGACTTAATTAATGCTAAATGAAACACGCTAAATTATAATACTGATCGATACTTATATTTAAATTAAATCATAGCCCGGAAGATTCGTTTTACAGGAAAATTACAGATCATTTTCAAATTATTACTAGCAAGATTCGATAAAAAAAAACTTAATTCCTTAGTAAAATGACAGGAATAAAAATATTGAATATTTTACCAATGTCGAATTATAAGCGTTATGTGAAAATAAACCTTTAAAAAGCAGTGCATATGTCCCGACAGTTCTAAAATCGATCCAAAACAATACTGACATAACTCTTTTTGATATGTTCTTAATCTCCAAAAAGGATTTTTTTTTTAAGCAAAGGAGTGACAAAATGCATGAGACGCTGGATGGATTTTACAAGAATGAAAGATAATTTTTGTATAAAAGTTTATAAAATATCTATCTGGATTCGGGAGAGAACATAATTGCAATATTGGAAACCACAACCTATTACCACTCAACTATTCATGTTCATTTGATAGACTCTTGTATATTGATAGACCCTTCGGATTCGTCTGGCAAGTAATTAAAATGACTTAAAACATGCTTTATAGAAACTACAATCATATACACGGGTATCTTCAGAGAATTTCCTAAATACTTACATATCATAACAAGTTTCTTATAGAAACGTTTCGCAATTGAAAACTCATTTTTTGTAGAGATGTCAAATTTCCAAAAAATGTGATACCTATCTGCTAATAAATCTGTACAAAACGTTCTATCATATCATCTAGAAACAAAATAATTACATTTTATATAAGATACCTATTTCGAAAAACTAATTTATTTGTGATGTAATAACGTCAATACAATGTTTAATTATTACATAATAGAAATAGGTATCATCTCAATGAGAAAAAATTGTTTAGTGTAAGTGAAAATAGAAAATACAGAGCTCGTGGTACACCAAAGTGGTCTAGACAAAAATACGGAACCAATATAATCATAAAATAAAATACATACAAAATAATTGTGCTAATCAGTTACAACGCCGCTGATAAAATTCAACTAATACTAGAATTTTAAGATGCCGCATAAAAAGGAGAAAAACCTGGCTTCATACGGCAATGAAACTTGTTTTTTGCCGAATGTTCCTATTAAATATTCAAAACATATTGGAAATAGTTGAAAGATTGCGAGACAATCGGAGCACATAACATTTCAATCGTCATTGTTTTGAATGCAAAACAATTAAAGAAACAATTAAAAGATGTAAAAAATTGAACTAACAACATCAACGAGATTTGAAAAAGTTTCTGATGAAACTGACGGACTGTAATTTATGCCAAATTACAAAACTAAAACGCAAACAAATTTCAAGAATGGCTTTTTTAATTTAGTATTGAGAAACAAACGTTAATAAGTGTTTTTCATATCTCATTGAAAAGCTTTGAGGCAATATTTAAAAAATCTTTGTGACAGTTACATCTAGACGAGTAGTTTTCAGTGGGATTTTTATGTTCACCGTTTCTGTTTGAAATAAGTATCTAGTTAAAATATTGAACTGCTCATTGCTTTCCATATTTAATATCATATAATATAAAACTGTTTGATGTTTGCTTTGCATCGAATTACGTTCCGAAAAATGTGGCAAATTCGATAATTTGCCCTGGATACAGCGAGAAATTCCCATTGAAAACTTTAGGTCAATCAAATAATTACATTATAGTTTCATGGATATGATGCCAATATATGGTGCAACACTTATCAAAATAAATCCACATATTGTTCAAACATATACCTTGAAACTAATAGAAAATTAAGTAAGAAGTATCCCGACATCTTCCTTAAAAGTTCCGACAACAGGACAATGCTTTCTTACATCCTTCTCAAGATTACTGAGAAAATTAGATATTAAATAAAAACTCACTGAAACCGGAAAGTCGTTGAATCAGAAGATGAGGAATTAATATAAGTAATAGCATCTAATTTGCGATAAAACGAGTCCGATGGATTAAATGATGTGCCTTAAATGCGCTACGATTAATGCAGCAGAAAGAAGAAAGCATTTTCCGTCATTCCAAATTCACTTTGACAAGTAAAAAAGAATTTAACATCTCTATGAGTGGTCTATTATGAATGTAGTAAGGAGTAAGAGCTCAGTTGTCGTGATTACAACATACTTCAGTGGTCCAGCCCGCCTAGGCTGGTGGACAAAAATGTGAGAAATATTCAGGATGAAGGAACTTGACATGTGCGATGTGCCCTGTGCTCCCTGGTCTGGAATCACAGGAATATCTGGAAACAAATAGAAGATTGATGACTAGTGGCGCGGCCCGAAGAGTTGGCGACTTTTGCTGAACACACCACCGCCCGTGTTAGTAGGTTAGGTCAAGGAAGAGGCATAGTCCACCAGCCTATTGAGGGCCAGCCGAGGTGAGTTATTGCATGAAATACTCAGGATGATCCGAGTCTTTCTCAAACCTCTTGGCCTCTTCTTGCATGCTCTCTTTTATTTTCAAAATAGCAGCCGATTCCGTTTGGTCCTGGAAGGAAAGCGACCTTTAGTGGTTAAGTGTCAGTCTACTAAGCGCAAGCACCAGCACCATTCTTGTTTTTACACATTCGACCTGTCTTAAGCTCTTAATTCACCCGAGATTTCCGTATTGGCGAGAGAAAGCTATGGCACCACTCACACCTTCATTATACCCTGCATATAATCTAAATGCAGTATTTTACATTTACGTTCCCTTTTTAATTGAACTATTTTACATTTATTAATTGCATGATATTTTGTGGATTGAAAGTTTTTTGGTTATGCAAGAATGCTTTTCCCATCGCATCTATGATATACGCATATGTTGAAAATATCAACAATGTTTAGGATTTATCACTATTTAACGGCGATTATTGTCGAAACCCACATTCTACCGCACGATTAGACGAATCGTTCTAGTCAGTACCCTTTTAAAGTATCTAGAAGGTCGAATGTGCAATGTTCTAAAAGGTACTGAGAATGTAAAACAGGGTCTTTCGACTGTTCAAACCGACTGGGTCAGATTCCAATACGTTCAATTATCTGCACAATAGATGGGTAAATTGTAAGTCCAACCCAATTGATTTAAATTCATACTGACATCTGACAGTTCCTAAAATTAATTTCTCAAACTGATATCATATCACGTCTCTACTTTCTATGGTCGTTGTGATTTACTTTTTAAAATGCCCATGCTTGCATGCAATGGCTTTGGTCATATAGGTATTTTCTACGGCACTAATTAATCATAAGAAGCTCGTTTTATTCGTCCTTTTAAATTTCCTGCTACTGCTACTCTCATTATGTTAAGCAGAGCTGGCGGCGCAGAATAGAAACTTCAATGACTCACAGTCTTGAGTAAGTCTGTTGCATTATAACAGGAATACACTGACTCCTCTTTTATGTGCTATTATATAGTAGGCCCTAAGAGATTAAGACATTTCAAGGAACTGTACTGAAACTTTCAACTTCCTTGACCTACTTGAGCTTCATATCATCATCAACATCATCCCTTGTCATCACAATATCATAAATGGAATGGAATGAGAAAATAGAACTTGATTAAACAGTTAGCAGAAAATATTAACAATAAAGCGAAAGTAACGGACTTAAGTGTTTTTGTAAGACCTGGTCTATTCAAGCTAACATTTGGGAACGGGATGCTCTCACCAGTGAACATTTAATTTTAATAAACTTATTTCAAGATTCAGTTACCACATTTTGATAGTATTCACAGGACAAGAGCATAAGGAAATAACCACCAGACACAAACAACATTCGATATTTTTGAAACCACAAATTATTATTTTCGTCACAAATTATTATAACCACAAAAGTGGATATAGATTGTTACAGTATTTTTATTACATTTAGCTTGGTATGTATTTGGATCAAATAGTTTATTTTTAAAAAGGGAGGAAGCAGGTATGTACACACTGAAGACAATCCAGTCAAACGAGACCTTTTCTTTGCAATAAAGTGTTTATTGATCAAGGGTTGGTTTAATTCAACCATTGAATATTAATTATGGCCAAGCGCTTTCGACAATTACGTCATCATTAGGGCTGCTAAAAATACAAGGGTAACGATCAGCACCCTGGGGGAAGCCATGAATAAAATTTACTCGTCAAAACACAAGCGTACATCCCCAAGAGCGAAGAGCAGAGTGTCAACAATGCTAAGGCAGTCAAAGAAGTCGCAACGCAGAAAACAAGCTAATATTAAACTGGAACAACAGTTAAAATTCGAAACTTAAAAACCAGTAATTAATAATAAATTGGTTCGTGCAATTTTTCGTTTTCATAATAATATACCCACTGCCTCATAGCCTTTGATAATGTCCACCGCAGTTGAGGACGAAACGTCAGGAATAAATTCCCATGGACCACGGCTTTAAAGCCCGGAAAACATATCTACATGTGATTTGACCGGCCGTGAAAGCCTTCACAGTCTGATAAGATAGTTTGGTTTGTTTTTTGAATTGCATAGAACATTCGCTGAGTGTTGTCAAATTTATTTCGACCAGACCATGGTTTTCAATTTGTATTTTTTTTTTTACTTTTTTTAAGTTTTAATTGTTAGTGCGGTTTAATGTTTTTGTTTTCGGTGTTGCGATTTTAATTCTTTGACTGCCTTGACGAGTAAGTTTCTACCCTTATATTTTGTTCATCTTCATAACCTACGCCAAGATGCTAATCGTTACTTTTTTGTGCCAAAAATGGTGTGTTTGGCCAATGGCCCTGATGACGTAATTGTCGAAAGCGCTTGGCCATAATTAATACTCAAGGGTTGAATTAAACCTTACTCTCGATCAGTACTATCTTTATTACAAAAAAAATCTGGTTTGACAAGTTAATTTTTTCCGTTAAAAAGTCAGCATTACATGTCGTAATACAACGCCATCCACTAACATTTGTCATGTCTTGAAATTGATGCTAAAACGACTTTATTTAGCTACTGATTTCATACACTGCCCCAATTAAATTCGAAATAAAGATAAACTTTTATTTTATTATTATTTACTTATTTTATTTTAGAAAATTAGTTATTCACTTCTATTCACACTAGCCTAAGTATAGTAAATCGGAATTATTTTGTGACGAGGATCCGTAATTTCGAGCGTTGCGTCTTCCTCGTCTAAACCACTGCTCGGAGGTAATTTTTCATTTCCTACTTGGTCTGCTGATTAGTCCCATATGTTCTGGTAAGAATGTTGAATTAATTTCATAAATGCTCAATAAAATGGCGAATTCTATTATTTTTTCATCCCTATCGCAAACGTGCAATGTAATTGACCCAAAATTGTTAAAAAATTGACTCAGAATTTCAACAAGGTATAGAATTTGAATATATAAATAGTAGAAACTGATTTACTGCAGAGAGCAAAGAAGTTATGTTTCTGATAATTAATATGAATGAAGCCTACGGGCAATGCTCCGAAATTGAATTATGATGGTGATGTTCTTTAGCACTTAGTTCATAATTTATTAAATATTTATTGTTGGTAAACGGTTTTCACACATTACTTACATTTTCTCCTGGTCCACCAAATCCTCCAAGATTATAATCTCCCATTCCACTTCCGCTATCTTCCCTCGGCGTCCCGGGACCACCATTTGCAGGTGAATTTTTCATACCATCCATTCCATCCCCATTCATTACGGGGCCCATTGAATTGGGTCCCATTGGACCCATTGGACCGCCCGCATCTGGCCCACCACCCATCTGAAAATCTCCAGGCATATTTCCACCCACGGCCGGTTTCATTAATGTGTACATGTTTTCGCCTCCCGAATTACTTGAATCTTGTGGACTTGGCATAATTGGCGTTCCTGGACCGGCTGGTCCCGCGGATCCAGGTGGCCCACCATAGTTGCCAGGTGATGATGAAGAGTAATTCATGGGCTGCGAGAATATAACTAATTATTATCATGAGAAAATGCATAATTACAGTAATGTATGGATGGTTCACACCACCTCTAATTCGAACGCCGCAATGGTAGATTCACTAATTTTCAATTCTTATGAGATACGACAGCCTTAAAACTCTGTAATCACGTAATAATAAAACCAAAAATATCCATGATATATTGTTCATGGTACTGTTTATCAACTTTCTCTAATAATATCTAATTAACACCTATAATTTTCCAGTTTATAACCAAATAAGATTATTGACTTCGGGATTCAAATTCGTTGTTTTTTTTGTTGTGGTGTGGCTTCACATTACAGCAGTACGTAGTGACCACGTAAAAAATTTAAATGCTAAAAAAACTTGCAATGTTTTCACTAAATTAGCGGAAACAGAAATATTAAAGTATGGATAAAAAGAGTATGAAATAGATCAAAAACAAAAAGCCAGCGTCCACATTGTGGAAAGAACGAGAAGATGATCATCATGTCGTCAGGTTAATGTTAATTTACAAAAAACAGCACTTGAAGATGTAGATAATGGAATTTGCAAAGATTCACTTCAAAGAGGCAGGAAAACGCTAGTGAAATGGGTACTAAGAACATTACAACGAAAAGATATGAATACATCGTATCGTGGCTGCATCCAGCAGATTAGAAAATTCTACAGCACCGGTGAAGGTGAAAGTGATGAGAAAGAAATAGAATGCAATTGTCTCTTCCGAAGAGATTTTATCGAAAAAGATTATTTTGTAAACATTTTACAATAAAACAAGCAAACAATATAAAAAATTACCCCCCAAAACATCCTTGTAATCTATAAGCCGGACGTGACGAATTATACAGGGTTGCCCATTACTGCGCTATTTCTTAGCAAATATGAATTTGACTCCTAAACATTAACAGAAACAAAACCAATCAAATTGAACAGTCTTAGGCCGATATGCATAATCGATCTCTTACGATGCGCCGGCCTCCCGACGTTCGCTGGAGGCAATTTTGGGTGCACAGCCGATCGGTTGAGCATCTGACACACGCGCATTTTAATGCTGTTGGGTGGGAATTTGTCGGAGATGGGTGTAGGCATCTCCGAACGATCGCCAAAGCGATTTTGGGAGTGAAAGTTCTCAAGTTCTCGTGTGTTTTATACTATTTTCGTTTTACATAGATAACGATCTCGATGATTGTACAGTTTTAATCGGAATAATTCAGACTTGGAATTAGATTTGAACATACCACAAAGGTACGTAAAGAAACCATCAAGAGTATGCTCTTCATTGCATGATATATACATAATAATATGATATTGCAATTGAATGCTGATATGCAATTCAAATAATAATTGTATTATTCTCAGGTATATTTGAGATATGGAAAATACCTTAGATAATTTACTGAATATATTAGATTTACTGAAGCCGATTTCAGAAAACGCTTTGTTTCTCAAAGAAAATTGGGCAAAATATATGTTGTTAATATAACACATCTTAACATGTTATGATTAATCGATCACGAGGAACAAATCACAAATCGAGGCATTCCTGTTCTTTTGATAATAGATATTTTAAATGAATTTAATTGTCAGTCCCTACTTGGTGGAAAAAATCAAGCTTGCACAAGCAATAATAATAATATATATATAAATAATATTTATTTCCTACAGAAAAAGGCTATCGATCCAATCGGTCTTGCTGCCCATTAATAATAATAATAAACAAAGTTATTATTGCATTACATTTTAAATAATAATTTTAATGTTTAGAAAAGAGGTTTCGGAATCAATTGGTTGTTTTTCTCAACGTTAATAAGGGCTTTCACCGTTAATACCAAAAATACGTCTAGTCTAAAAATTATTTTGCGATTTATTTATACAACATCTTATCCGTCGAGGCAACCAGAATAGTGATATTGCGGATGCTCATTACATGGGAGAATCATGGGCGATTCCATCTAACGATGAACAACTTTGCATCAAAAACCTGTCGCTTTCTCGTCGGCGGCGGCACGCTCGGTTATCCGGCAAAGAGCCGAAGATCGACTATGCATACCGGCGTTAGATTCATAAAAGATAAATTCCATTCTCCATGGGTTATTGCGTTAATTTTGACTTTCGGAATACGCAAGCTATGCCTCCTAAACAATCCAAGATGAAACTAAATCTGATCAAGAACATTCGGTCAAAATAAATAAAATAATACATGACTACGTATAAACATACAGGGTGATAGCATTTGCCAAATTGTGACTTAGTTTGAAGCTTTTTTCACAAAATGTACTCCAATACCGAATATGCGGATACGCTTTTAGTTGCTGGGGAATGCCACAGTAACATTGCGTTTTTTCGTAATGTTAATTAGGCGAATTACCCTGAAAAACATTGTTGCCGGCCTTCTGGTCTAGTTTTTTGCAAATATCTCGTTTTTTGAAACTATGTTTCGCAAGCACGAGTGGCTTGCATCTTCAGAAGTGGTTTGCTTGAACGCTTGCACTGTTTTGACAGAGACCCTAGACCTAACTTTATACCAAACCGTAATTGGTTACTACCACACGTTTATGACACACCCCGTGGATTGGACATAATTCAAAAATACATCACTTTCTCGTAATCCAGCTAACAGACTATGTGAACCTGAACTGTTCGGATGATCCATACATCACTGAATAACTAAGAAAATACAAAATAACATAGTGTCAACTTACCGTTGACGTATTAGGTTGCCATTGCGGTCGTCCTCCAGGTCCTCCCATTGTCATAGGAGGCATAGGGCCTCCGGGTCCGAGACTACTGTTAGGGGGTGGGCCTCTTAAACCGGTGCCGTACGTTCCAGGACCAAGAGGTCCCATTGAGGGCCCCCGTGGAGGGTTCATTCGATTTAGAGTGGCTGGTGGTCCTAAGAAAGTAGTTTCTAGTATATTTTAAATATTGCACAATTATACTCAATGTAATAGCAAAGACACCACATGCTAGCACCATGGGAAACTCAAGTACAATGACAGTAAACTAATAACATTTATGTATAACAGAATATTTTGTGTTAATATGTATGTTGGTTGTTAATTTATTACTGAAAATAATACTTAACTGAAATCGTTTTACTTATATGTTGTTGAAATCAAACTACGGGTTTGTCAATTTTAAACTACTTGTTATACTCGACTTAGTACATTGTCGGTTTTCAAAGTTTACAGTTCGGAAAAGTTGAAGTCCACTTTAAACATTTACGAATATAGTTAAAGTAAAACTAACATTGAGAAAAATACTATTAGATGTACAGAAGAACCTTCTGAAGAATTTGAAAGAAGCGAAGCAAGCAAGAGGTGTATGCGTATGAGTGTGATGGTGAAGGAGAGCATTTGCCTACCTTGCCAACCTACAAAATCTCCGCCATCACCTGGAGACAAGAAATAGATGCATTACATGAGGCAAATCATAAAATGGGCTTTCATGCTCGTTGTGCAATTGGCTCTTTTGTAAATTAACTTGTTATTTCGTTATTTCCAAATATTAATCGATTGCAGATTATTCGATTATCATCTCTTCACACCTTACAGCCAAAAAGTTGCGCTAAGCCACAAAACACCAATCAATCTTATTAAAAACCTACCTAATAGTCAATGTAAACGATTTAAATTCGGTTAAATGAATATTGAAAATCGTCTAATGAATGTTTCAATGGTACAAATCTACTTTGATCTAATTGTTATCTGACCCTCGTACGCCTGCTATGACACTTAAGTTGTAGCAGCATGAAAAGCCACGAAAACAACATATGTATTGAATTCAAGGTATTTATGAAACTAAACTGAATGAATGCTCACATAAGAATTAAGATGATTTCTAGCTACAAATCTCAATGATGTATGAAACATTTTAACCATTAAAACCATGAAGTATTTTGAAATATGCATTCCCAACACTACTGTTAGTATATATCAAGTCCAATTCTGCCACTTTGTAGCTATAAGGTGTTAGATGATCAATTAATTTAATATTTTTAGTAAATTCAAATGTATGCAATAGGAAATTATTTACCTTGTCTAGTTGGGTCCATATTATTCGGCATCAACGGCTGCCCTGGAGGCTGGAAATAGAGTAATATATTAATACATTGTAGCAAATGCTAGTTTAAAAATTTAATAAATATTTCAACTAGTTTCCTAAACGTTATTCTCTTAGTTCAAATAATACATTTATCTTTAAAGTAAATGCATCTACTCTGTATCAAACATTAGATGATGATGATGACGCTTCATACTTGTCTTGATTCTGGGTTTGTCTATACCATATTCTGAATTTCTATAATTTTGAACATTTAACAATGGAAACTTTTAAATAAAGGACAGCTTTTCGAGCTAAAGGCGGCAATACTACTACTCGATACTAGAAACTACTCGAATTTCAAAATTTATTTTTCATGTTTTTTTAAAATCTGATAAACTACTGATCAATGTTTTGTTTTAATTTTTTTTCTGCGAAAATATTCTCATATTAATTTAAAAAGCAATGATTTGAGTTTTTCGAAAGGTATGTTGGGTTTATAATATTTTTCCATTGAAATGTATACATGGTGATCTAATTTTGTCCATCAGTGTATATCACTTGGACACATACATTAACTGAACAGAATTAAAAGAACAGAACACTTTGCTGGTCGTGGTATATCAGTAGCCTTACAAGTAAATTTAAGACCGAAGTATAGAAGTAAGTTATCTCTTAATAAATAATGGCACTTTAAAGTTATCGCCAAAATCGATTGTTTACAAATTAAAATTTAGAATTCGGAAGATCCAGACAACAAGCTCTATTTAACAATTCGATCAAACAACCTTTATTATTTTACATTTCATCTCTGACTGAATGTCTGTCTTAAAGACACTTAACTTGCTCATGCAATATGCAAGTGTACATTCTGCTTATATGTGCAGGTTATGGCCATATAACTTTCGATCCCTTTTTTGTCACTTTTTTTTTTAATTTGTTATAGGCCTTTTTCAAAACGACCCGCGCGCTAAAGCTACCAAAGAAGAGAGCTAAGAACCAAAAAAAAATTTGCAAAGACCCTATTGTATAAAAAATGTACGACAAATTACAACGGCAACCGTACATTCACAGTTATATGTTAACAAATATGATGGCGTTGCAAATTTGTTTTTAATAATTATCTCCAAAACTTCAAATGTATAGCAATATCGAGCAGGCATACAGTTTACCTTCCTTGCGAAGATTCGAAATTGGTTGCTTCGGTATAATAAACGCGCGGAATAAATGTGTTATTTAGCAAAAGCAAATTAATTCTTCTGAGAAAGTAATGGTTTCAAAAAGTGGAAGGCTCTATCTGAACAGCGGATTGTTGTTCTATCTCTATCTGAACAGTGGACTGACAACAGTACTCCTAAGCAACAATTGAGACCGTTTTAAATTTGATAGAAACAAGCACCAACACAAAGCATACAAAACCATAGAAAGCTTTCGCGCATATTTTCGACGATCTTGAAATTTTGAAGGAAGTTCAGGTATCAAGTAATAAGTTTAATAAAGCGCTACATCATGCTATTCCTGAAATCACAAATCAAAATATCATTGTAAAGAATGAAAACATGTGAAGTGAGATTATGAAGTGAAGTTGAGAAGTTCGGTGATTCATTGTGCGGTTCTGTGATTCAACTCAAGTAATAAAAAGAATACGCATTGAAATTCAAATTTTTAGGGATTTACGTAACGTTAATGTGAAAAAAGTCGTGTGAAGGCACGAACCGAATATATTAGTGCCGAATTTTTGGTTGTTTTCTTCAAACATCTTAGTTTTTATGTAAATTACTTTTTTCAATATTGTTTCCATACTTCCAAAATATATAACACATAGAAGCGTGACGCCAATTTTGGAACACAATATATTTTTGTGGCAGAATTTCATAGGCTTGAGTCGATAACATTTTTCGATAAGAAAATCGTTGATTAAAATTAACATCTCTTTAATTAAAACGTTAGTTTGCGTGGGAGCAAAATTTTTGAATTAATCATAAGAACGACAATATGTAGCATATATAAAATTACATCTACTCTTTTGTCTTCTTCGACACTCTTAAACTCAGTTAAACAAAAATACGTACTCCATTGAAATCGCTTCCGATTTGTGGCATTCTAACACCAGGTCGCGGGCCGGCAGGATACCTGGGATTCATAAAAGGCTGTGTTGTCATAATACTAGTGTGCGGTGGGGGTTGTGAATGAGGCGATGGCTGGCTTGAAGGGTGCGTGGGAGGTGAAGGCCGTAATGTCGAATTCTAAAATAAAAAAATGCCAAATTTAACAGTCTTTCAACAGACATATTTGTTCACTGAAAAATGTCACAAGACTTACAGGGAAAAATCCTGGAGGAATTGGGCCCCCTGGCATTCCGTCGGCAGGCATTTGTCCCAGTGGACTTGGTGCTGGACCCGCATTCTGTAGTTAATCAGAAATTAGTATGTTATTTTTCATGTAGCTACCATAGAAAAGAGAAAACATGATCAGAAAATACAATACACGGCAATGGGTACACAACATCTCGGCAAACTTCATAATAATCCAAAACAGTTTTAATTTAGAACCATGGGGATTTGTTCAAACTCTCAAAACCCTCAGACTTGATGCCCAACTTATTTAATATAACAAGTATTTTGAACTGAATTTGTTAGCACCGAAAAAGATTCAATCTTGGTGTAAACTTGTAAGAAGCCATTCTTACGTCTGTTGCGTCTTGCAATGAAAATAGAAACATTTCCCCATATTTAACACTACATTTATTTTACGATTATAGACGTATGGTAAACACGATTACAGCAAAACCCAACAAATAGTTAAATCATTTTAAGTCTAATTTTGCAAAACTGAAGCCAAAATTTGTAACTTAGAAAAGTCTACTTCTAACAAAAATAAAGCATATTGACTTGACTGACTGATAAAGCTCTTACGAACTGTTCAAATGAGTTTGTCGTACTAATTTTTCACTTAAAACACGATAAGTGTGCCATTCCAGAAAACATATTCATGTTTTTTCCTTTCAAATCGGTAGCAGTTTAACAACAACAATGATATAGGTAATATGATATAAAGAACTACTTTTTACAACTTACGTGGGAAATTCCATTAACTCCATACCCCGAGTTTACAAAACCCTTAAAAAATAATATTATGTTAATTATTAATAAATAATTGGTCTGGATCAATACAGGCGAGATTTGGCAACGTTTCGCATTTATTCAACCCTTGTCTATTGCGTCACATAGTTTTAAAGGACCTAAAAAACGTTTTATTTCAAATATTTTGATATGGCTATCTAAATGCATCAATGACGTTGTGGTCAATAATTTTTACTTTTAGTTATTAGGTGTGTTACTGGTAAGCGCACCCAGACTTACTTCGCGAAAAGTTCCAAGTGAAATAATGGGGCAAACAAGTTCGAGTTTGCTAGTTCGGTACTATTTAGAAACGTATAAATAGCCTAAAGTTCAATTTAAGAAATATTGAGGCAATAACAGATCTCAAGCATTGGTTTTTCAATAATAATTTCCAACTTTCGCATTTAGATTTTCGAAATGACTGCCAAAGACGAGAATGACGGAGAACCAGCAAATGTACAGATTGTAAATTTCGTACGTTTACGTGACTCGAGATGCAAATACTTTCGTGTTTCTAACACTAAGGCAACAACTTTATTATTTTAAATGTAATACAATGTGTATTTTCGGCGAATGCTTGATAAAATGTTCAAGCAACGTTTTTAATTTATTTGCTCTGCTTGTTTTATAACTTCGAAGCAGTTTATTTGAGACAGGTGACCATCATTTTTAGGTATTTTCTCATGAAGAGCTTAAAACCCGATAAAGACATTGAAAGTAAGGAAAAAAATTGCGTTCCCATTTGGAAAAAGTCAGTTATAGCGTTTAAATCAAGTCAAGGTTTAAGCTAAAACACAGTTTATTAGGTTACGCTAAAATTTGATTAAGTGTATATAAACAAAATACGCAAGTTATTGCCTACTTCGGTTTATCGAACCATCTAAGCGTTCAAAATTTCTAATCTGTACTTTCAGTATTTTTCCATATTGCTCTATCGATGAGCAAACCGTTATGAAATTCCATGTAGTACATATACAGTCTGCTTAAACAGAAAACTTCAGACTAAAACCTAAAATGCAATCATCAGATATACATCTTTTTTTTTAAGTTGGTAATTAGAAAATATAAAATTGGCTCACAAGTAAAGTAGCTTTTTCCAAAATATCGAAAAATACTTTTTTTGCTAAAGTGAATCAAAAAGCAAACATGAAATAACCGAAAATTCAACTGTGTTCAAACTGCATAACACCTGCAAAGCTCTAGATTTCTTATCAACTGTGCCTTATCATCAAGTATCAGACTACATATGATTGTCGGCCTCAACTAAGGAGACTTCCACCAAACTGACCTTTTACACAATTACAACAATAGAACGTTATTAATACTAATTAACGAACGTAAGGCAAACGCTGTTTGTTTTGGTTCGTTTAATTTGCGTTTGTACTCGGATCTATGGAAGCACATTAAAACCAAATCGTGAACGTTGAAAGTAATTGAGAGAACATTTGATCAGCATATTCTCCTCACGTGTCGATTGTTGCAAGAAGTAGCGATATTGCACATTATTTTTTGCAAGCCATTAGCGAATCATGATAACTAATTTTAAACTGGAGTTGGGACAATAATCATGTTCTAAAGCCTACACGATTTTTTCGCAAGAATTCAAAAAACAATCTAGTTACAGGACCTTCTGAATTGTCAAAGTTGGCTCACTTTTTTAAAACGAGCGGGCACATTTTTTTTGTTGACGAGCGTTAGGTTTAGACAAAAAGCGTAAAGCATGGCAGCGTTGCTCGGCGGATTGCACTATTTTCTTAGCCTGCATTCGAATGGAACGAGGGACATGTAGACTATATACATAGATGTGTAGAGCATCGCTCCGCATAGCAAAGTGCCTAAATCGGGCGCAGAAATATTTGTTTCGTCTCTGCGCATCTTGAATCTTAGGAACTGGTTTCTTTTGTGCAACTCATGCGTCAATGGTCGTCAGACGGTGATCACCATAGAGCACTTTATTCTTCGGATCCTTCCAAGCGTAACGGGACCCTTAAACAGGAGCGTACGGCAGGACGGAGAACCGATTCCGTCACCGATCACTGATAAATTTTCCGGCCGCTGCACTTGGCAAATCACGGTTTTCCGCTTCCCCGCTGAATATGCGTTCTGCGTTAAATATCGGCAAAATGTCATCTTTGAACTGCGCGCAATAGAAAATACTTTTAGAATTTGTCGGAATTTAAATCTCAACTTTCAATGTTCAAAGGGTATCTGTTCATGAATAATTATTCAATCTATTTTATTAAGAGATACGTATTCACGTCTCGTAACTCTCTGAAGTGATTGTAACTAAGAAAAAAAAAGAAAAAAGGGGAGGGAGTACTTTTATAGACTAACTGTCTTTTTTGTATACTCATTTGTGGCAAAATGTTTTCCGTGTAATATAAACTGTGCCTGAAATGGAACAATTGAGAAATGTGCCTGTCTACTCTGTGCAAATCGGTTCTTACTTTCTCCTCTTATATTATGCGAGAGAAATAGATGGCGACAGTAGATTGTTTCCTTCTGGATTATTCATCTAAGCATTTGAAGGTGCAGGCTATGGGGAGTCTCAGATCAATTTTGACGAGAACTAATATGTTCGAGTTCTGTCCTGGGTGTGTAACTTCTATTTTTGCCAGCTATGAATGGTTTTAAACACACAACCATGCGTTCTCGATTTCAAAAATCCTGCGAAAAACTGATTTTATCGGAATATTAAGTAAATAAGTCGTTAAAGTTTTAGCAGTCTCATCCTGAATTTAGATGTCAAATTGGTACATATATTGGTAATATATACCCATTCACATTTTTCTTTTTGCGAAAATCTTTATCCTTATCTTAGCGAAGAGCATTACCTATCTGTATTTGTGTTAAGCAGCTGAAATTTCAACAAAAAAGAGCGTTTTGGAGGTTTTAACTTTGTCTTGTTGTAACTGTGTGTCTTGTAACTTGTGGAATATGCAGCGCTTGAAAATTACCTTAATATCAAATTTGATTCGATTTTTTTTTGTTTTTGAGAATACTTTTTATCATTCTTCTTCGGGCTAATAACGTTTGTCTCTCAGCTACTGTTTCAAAATACTAACTCGCATATACTTAGCAGATACAATAGTATCTCATAATCATCGATTACTAAATGTTAAGTATGTCAAGTGCAGATAATGATGAGCTAGAAGTTCCTGAATTGCAAACAAATCGGGATATATAAACATTTTAAAATTCTGATGCGAGAGCAAACTGATGAGGATAAATAAATAAACCAAAAAGTTTAAACGAGTTAATAAAGCAACAATAATAGTTCACAAAACTGTGATATTATCAATCTTTGCTGGAAGTATCGAAAGAATAATACTCCTTTTAAGTTGGAAATTTGCACTGAAATTCTATCGTCGTTCGAATGGAAATACCACTGCTGAGAAACCTGGTTGCTCTGAGATTAGCGAAGACCAAATAAAGCAATGCTCATCTAAGCTCTTTCTCGTAGGTAAGAAATTTACTGACTGGCTCTACACCTAGAAGGCTTAATAACAATGCAGTAGACAAGAAATAAATTAATGAAACTGACCAGAGTATTTGACAATACATGTTATGAAAATTCAGCTATGTTGGACAACAATTACCTATTTGACTAAAATAACTCATTTCTGAAAACGTATTTCGTAATTCTACGTCAACCACTGCGAATAACAGAAAATACTGTACCTAGTACAAACTCGAACGTATTAATGAGAGCTGAATAAAATTTCGGAAGTAATCCCAATGATTGTATCTCATACTTGTTCAAAGTGTGTTCAAGCGAAAAAAACTGCTTGTATTAGCGTTGTCTGTCCTAGATTCATTGCCTGACGATGCACAGGTAATCTTCAGCGATTCAACTTTATCGACTTACATGGGAATATTTCAGTTATTTTACAAATATTTCAATAACTTCAATATTATTTGAATATGATGTATGTTGGAATTTCTTGTTTTATTTGTTGATTTATATTCCAGCTATGCAAGAAGTGGTAGTTAAATATTTAAATGATGTTTTTATGTTATGTGTGCAATGATAAAACTAACAATTATCGGTACTGAACATATTCGTTCTTTAAGGCCAAATTCTAATTTAAGACATTTTGAATCTTCACAGAAGCACAAATATGTATTTAAAACGATACTAAATAGTTTTATATAATAAATCATAATATTACGCGCAAAATTTGATCAATTCTGTATTGTACTCGTATATATTCAAAAAAGTTAGTCGCTAGTTTTCGAAGCATCATAAAATTGTTGTGTAAATTAAAGGAAAAATTAAGTTTTGGTACCGCAACACTCAACTTGCATTGATGTGTAACTAAGAAAGTTTCAAATATGTAAATGTTTGTACGTAAGAACATTAGATGATTTAACTCTCTTCAACCGAATTACATTTTTTTAAGCCATACTGATCTACATAAGGGTACTAATGCTACTTAACTACCTTCAACAAATTGCAATTAAAGCATAAAGCTTGGTCTACGAAATAATTTCCAAACTTAAGTATTAAATGAGTATATCATGTTAGTCTACAATTAACAGAGAAAAGTGGCAACGAGCGTGCTTTATGTCCTTGATAACCCAGGTGAAAAAGACTCTTTAAATTCAGTGCACTCAAATGTTTACTAAGAATGAATGCAACACAACAGGACCCAGGTAGATACCCAATTCATCAAATTTGGCATCTGCGCTATGCATTATAGGTGAAAGGTAAAAATAGTACGCGGTAGTAACAAAATAGAAAGCTAAATCCAGCAGTTTTTCGTCCACTGCAAATTTTCATAAATAATGAACCATAACTTTTAGATTGTACCTTGAGTTTTTTCTTTTTTTACTTTTTCTAAATTCGGAACAAACGTAATAAATGAATTTCAGTTCGTTTTAATATTGTAGTATTTTCGTTAGTTATTAACACCCTTTGATCAGGTAATGGAGGATTTAGAAGAATAAATTAATTATTATAAAAACGCCTGCAAATATATGACTTATATTAACTT